GCACGCCTGTAGTTCCAGCTACTCGGAAGGCTGAGGCGGAAAGATCGCCGGAGCCCAGCAGGTCGAGGCTGCGGTGGCCGGGAGCGTGCCACTGCACTCCAGTCTGGGCAGCAGAGTGAGACTCCGACTCAAAAAAAAAAAAGGCTTTGTATGTTTCTCAGATCTGAATTTCAGCAGAAAGGCCCCACAGAGGACTTGAATCCGCAGGAGAATGCAGTTTCTTGTCTCCCCGTCCCATGACTTCCCCCTGCACTCTTTGAATCCTTTAAAATTCTTAGCCCCAAATTCTTCCAGACTTGTTACAGTCTTTCTCTGCTACAACCTTGGAGTAGATGGCCTGACTTCCTGCACCTCTGGCAATGACGAGGGAACTGTTAGGTCACAGGACTGACTTTCTAAGGAAGGCCCCAGCCCTAAGCTGAAGTCCTGCCCCTAGGACAGGGACAAAGCCCCGACCATACCCTCTCCCCTCCCTCTGGCAGGCAGGGACCTAATGAGGACCCTCACCTGGGGGGAGGGAACCATTAGGTAGCAGAAGAGGAAAGAGGGAGGGAAGAGGGGAAGGAGCAAAGGGGAGGAGAAGAAGAGGGGGAGGGGAGGAGAGGGTACCTCAGCTCTCTGTGGGTTCCCCTTGAGGGGAGAGACTGCAGTCTGTGACCACCTCTGATTCACTGGATGGATCACTCTCTCATTCAACACACGTTTATTGAGCCCCAGGCACTATGTGCCAGGCACTGTGCTGGGTGCTGAGGAGACTACAGGAAACAGGCAGACACAATCCCTGTGCCAAGGAGATGTTAGTCTTCTTCATGGGGACACTCGTGAAATGACTAATGGGTGTCAGGCGATTCGGGCTGTGAGAGAGTGGTGAGAGCCACGAACAAGATCAGACAGACCAGAAGGGTGGGAGCTGCAGCCACTGCGGGCAGCACCATCAGGATGGGCCTCTCTGAGGAGGCGGACCTTGAGCTGGTGAAGACCTGCGTGAGAAGCAACCGGTCACCTGTCCACACAAGGGCACGGCCCCAGGAACCTTGAGGGAAGACCCGCGGGTGGGGAGGGGCTGCCTGACAGCTGCTGCAAGAAGTGTGAGGTTTAGTCTGCGTTTGTTTGTCTCAAGTCCCTGGTGGCTGAGGAGGAAGCTAGAAGCAGGATGGCAGCTGGAAGGGGCCTTGGAGACAATCTGGTCCAACCCCTCATTTCACAGAAGGGGAAACCAAGGTTCAGACCAGGGAGGACATTGCCAGGGTCAGCAGAGGTTGGTACTGGACCTGTCCCCTCCCCAGGACTCCCAGGCCAGGATGCCTCCTCCTTCTATGTCTGTTGCAAGCGCCTCCGGTCCCATCTGGGCTGACCCTCAGGGCCCCAGTCACCCGTCCCGTGCACACGGGGCATCCTCCTAACGGTTTCACCTTTCCTGCCATGACTCTGTCTCTGCACCAGTCTCACAACAGACAAAGTCTCCAGGCTCTACCAAACAGCTCATCCGTCACTAGCGAGGGAGGTCTCAGTGGCTTCCCACGGCCCCCAAAGCTCAGAGCACCTGCGGCCTTGGGGCTGGATGCCAGCACCCTGCAGGCCCTGCACCCGGCTGCCCTCTCACTGGTCACCAGGGCTCCACCATCGACCAGGCCTGTCCCTCCCCAGCAACTGTCCCCAGGTTGTGCCGCTCCTCCAGCTGTCTTCCCCGGGAGACAGCCCCTGCCTCCACATAAGCCTTCCCTCAAATCCAGCCTGGGTTGTGGAAGGAGCATTGGACTGGGAATCCACAGCTGCCCTCTCTGGCTTCTGACCCCTTCTTTGGGTCCACCCTCAGTCTCTTCTGCTGTAGAGCAAGTCCATCTCTCCTGGCTGAATCTCTAAGCCAAGAAGATGGGGTGTCATCTACTTAGAGAACGGATTGAAGTCCCGGCCTGGCCCCCTCTTCCTGGCCTCTCTGACTGTCCACTATGCCAACCTGACTCTGAAGAGGCAGCTCAGCCAGGTCTGGGTCTGGCCTGCAACCTCCAGTCCACCCTTTTCCCTCCAATGGCCCTTCCTCGTCCCCCTCCCGGGTTCCCCCAACCCAGTCAGAACCTCAGAGCCGACTCTCATTGCTCCAGTCACACCCCAGGTTCAGGAGATCACAGCAAAGGACCTCAGAACTCAACCCGTCTAGCTTTTTCCTGTTCCCACTGATATTTTTAAATGATCAGTTACCCACACAGATCATAGCAAATCTAAAAAGACAATCACAGGAGAGGAAAAAAAAAAATCCCTCCTATTCCCATGACTAGGAGCTAAAGATGTTGCCAACAGCCTCACTCGTGGAGAAGGGGCCCAGAGAGGGAAACTTGCAGGCGCCTCTGGTGCCACCTGGGCTGACCTTCAGGGCCCCAGCCCCTGCCATGCACCCAGGGCATCCTCCTAACGGTTTCACCTTTCCTTCCATGACTGTCTCTGCGACGGAGATGGTGGGACTAGCAGCCAAGCCTCTGGCCACCCTCTGTTTGGTCTTGGGTGCTGTCTCAGGTCCTGTGCACCAATAGCCTCTGGACACATCAGCTCTCATTGCTCTCTGACCACACCTCAACCATCAGCACCCCCATCCCCATCCTTCTTCCCAGCAGGACCCAGGCCTGTCTCAGCTACATCCTGGGACCCTTAAAGACAAGAGCACGGTCAGTGACGCTGTGCACACCCCTGAGACACAGCAGCTCAGCTGAGCTGCCCACCATCGGACGGGCAACTCTGTCAGGGAGGCATAGACCTCTGTCTTCCTAATTCTCTCTGTCAAGGGCCTTGGCTGCAAACTACCTACCTCCCCAACCCCAGAGAAAGTCGGGGCGTGTAAGGAGAGAGGAAGAGAACTTAGATTATGTGTTGAAAGCTGGTCCTCTTTTTATAACGAGGTAGATCCAGACAGGACTTCCAGGTGAGAGAGATATTTCGGAGAACTAGTTTGGGGGAAGAGGAATGCACACAAGGGGACACCCAGCTTCCCATCTAAAGCAGAAGCAGCCGAAGGCCAAAGGCCACCAGGGCACATCAGGGCAGGAGTGGCCTGGGGATCCTTCAGGCTGGGGCCGGGGGGAACAGCAAGGTGCGTGCTCGTGGGCCCACTGCCTCCCTTCCTGGACCCATCTGTTCTTGCCCAGGGAGAGGGGGTCTCCACCATCTCCCTGGCGGCTCCCACTGGACCACCAAACCCACTCAGACCCGCCTGGGTCAGCTTGGGGGAGGTGAAAGAGAAAAAGAGGGTACGGCCGGGGTGGGAGCCTCTCCAGGGTCCATCTCGTCAGAGTCAGCCTCGCCTGCTGGCCAGGGTCCCCAATGACTCTCCACTGTCCCCTCTGTCGCAGGTCCCCCCAGGGTCCTCCGGGAGGGGAGCAGAGGGCCCGGCACGGGTGTCAATGCCTCTACCTGCAGACACACGTCCTAAGTATTTGGGAAAGTGGGGCCCCTGTCCACCTGCCTCAGCCACAGTGCTCCTGGCCTCCCT